CAAGTGCTTTAGAATACTTGCGCTTATCACATTGAAATCAAACGTGTTCTGCAAAGATTCCTATCATTGAAATTAAACGTGTTCTTCTGCAAAGAATTCAGATAATAGTTTCTTTGGAATGCAAATGAGTGTCAAAACATTAGTACAGTTGAGGTTACCTATTCATTTTTTACACACTCAAATCTAGCTAGTTAAAACACGACTCTGCTAACCACAGGATGTTGCTACATGGCTCAGCCCTGAATTATGGTTCTTCAGTCTCAAACATATTGCAGGAAGCCAGGAATACATAGAACATGCAACTTTTTCAAGAAAAAATGGTAAAAAGTAGGAGCAATATAGGGAAGAAATACAATGCAATCTATCTGGAAATTTCAGTACCGCCATGTTCCCATTTTCTTTGATAGTCATCACTTGGAGATGATCATCAGAACATCAGAAGAAAATTTTCTTATGTTCCACATCTTTGTTTGCCATACTAACTTAGCTACATGCTAATATTTTTTGCTGCAGTCGTTCTCTAAGCAAAGATTTAATTTTAACATATCCAGCATTGCTGCGGCGTTTGGATGACTCAGTGTGATCATTCCCGTGCTGTTTCGGTCTATGGCCCGAAATGTACACATGTATGAGGCAAAAAGGTTCTCTCTGACCACTAATGCCACTGGGTATCACGTTATCAAGAAAATTTTGATTAGTATGCTTGTTATTACAATAATTATTGAAAGAATACAAAGAAGGGTACCTTTGTCTCACCAGCCTAGCCTGACGGTGAATCCATCTGAAGTGTGTTGCCCAGTTTGCACACACCACGTTGAAGCAAACCGGGCCATGGATCTTTGTCTGATGATATTAATGTTATTAACGGAAAGGAAAATTTTGCCTATGCTACTTCATGCAGTATTGTTATCTGTTCTAGCTATTCACATATCTGATTGTACAACTATCCCTAGTTTTCAGTTCTATTTTTTAGCTATATATAGTGCTAATTTGAATATGAAACTTTGACAATTGCTATATATTCAAGCATCCAGTTATTCAGACTTTTTACAAATCATTGTATTTTTGTATGGATGGTGTAGTTAGAGATAGCTGAGACTTAAGACGACGGCATAAAATATATAAAGATGAAACCATGCTTGAAGATATACTTATTTCAGCATGCAAGTATTGGGTTTAACCTACAGTAAAGGCCAGGTGGTTAGATGAGTCATTCATACTCCATCAAATAGTTATTTTTTTAGTTCTCAGAACAACTAAAAATTTAAGATATAAATAATTTAAAAAAATGAATCCAGCTTGCAAGATTGCAGAGTAGTTTTGCCTTGCCTAAATGGTAACTTATGACTTATGAGCATCATAAAACTTAATAAACAGATCTCACCTATGATCCAATAAGCAACGTACTCTGCTGTAATTTATAACCCTTATTTATGTTATGAGCTCATTGATTACTCCTAAATGGGAAGTATTAGTAACATCATTAGATCACTAAAATGGATATGTAATCAGCTTAGCTTTCTCTCCCCAATCGAACAAAGTTGGGAAGTATGGTGTACAGCATAATTGAGGAGGTGCATTTACACCTGAAAAAAGAACGGAAAATAAGATGGTGAGCAGACCATTTCTAGATTGAGGAACGAGACACTATGAGAAGCGGTGCATGGTGCGTGAAGAGACTGTCTGCATCAGCTTCTATAGAACCTCGATGTCCAGCCGCATCCGCTTGGCTGACAGTCACCGTCCCATCAATTGCACTGAAATCACTGAACTCATGTCAATCTTTGTACAACTGATAGAGATGGGGACTATATAGAACAGCAACCAAATATTGAAAGGGAAAATTGAAAGGGAAAAAAGAAGAAGAGAAAAAGACGCATACATTGTGCCCATTTCACCGAACACGTTGAGGACATCATCCACGAAAGCATCGACGCCGGCAATGAGGTCGACAGTAGCCGATAATGGGGAGCACACGGGAGCAAGAGCAGGCACAGAGGCTGGAGATGCAGTTGCTATCGGATTTCAGGGTTTGGTGATCCTTTCCACGTGACGCAGGCGGGATGCGCGAGAAGCCTGCCCTCCAGCACCGAGAGCGGGGGCGTCCGCGGCGCAACGTCCGCGGGAGGAGTCAGCGACTGCTAGACGTGATCGGAGCTTGGTGATGAGGCCGGCAGTGGTGCGGCGGGACTGCTGGAATCGGAGAGGCAGCGGTCATCGAGGTTGGCCCAACTGGAAGGCTAGCGGGAAGAGGTGGTGGACTGGTGGAGGTACGCCTCCATCTCCATCTTGCTGGATAACTGCAGTCCGCCGTCCGCAACAGTCTTTAAGCTCCGCCGCCGCCAGCAGGCGTCGGGAGGCCTTGGTGGCGGCCAGGGGTTGACGGCAGGGGGAGCTGTTGCAGGAGCACGGCATCATGCGGTGGAGGGGATGAGTCGAGGGTTCGCGACTCGCGAGGATATCCAAGAGTCTAGTTTCGTGGCGAGTCGCAGGGGAAGGCGGCGAGCGCGGAGAAGAGTGACGAGCGCGGCGGCTGGCGGCGCATGAGGACGAGCGAGTGCGGCAGTCCGAGGCGGAGGGGACGAGTCCTCCGTCCCATCCGTTCTGGACTGCGGGTTGATCTGAAAATAATCTGAGGTGTGTTTTGAAAAATATTCTGAGAGGGTCTCTGAAGTGCGGGTTGATTTTCGAAAAATAGAAGGGGGTTTTCGTAAAATAACCGTGGATCGCCCGATCTGGCCCGTCCGCGCGCCCAATCGAACGGCCGCGAAAATCCCGTGACGTGGCACGCTGGCTGGCCGCGGTTTGGACGCAGGTTTCATATATACAGATTGGACAAAGGGTTTTGTCTTGTTCCTTAAAAACGAGGCTGTTGATGTTATATCAATCCTATTCAGGTGGGGATTTTCTCTCCCCCGTGACAGTTAAAAAACGCTTGTCTCTGCATACGTACTGGCCTGCAAGATGAACTATCCTGCTTGACCGAATCACCGAAAGCACCATGAGGCACGAGTTGCGAACCATGAATCACGTGTTCTTACGCTGCATATGTTAAAGGCATCGGCCTGCTGTTTTTGCTCAGCTTTACCTATGCCATGCATCAGAGATTCAGAGTTCAGTCAGGCAGCAGACCGCGTGCACCATACTATTGCGAGTCTATGTGCCTGCTTCTGCATATATGTCAATGTCTTGGAGCAACACCGAGAGGATGTGAATTTCTGTGAACCTTGTGATGGTGCATGTGAAGTACTTGTACCGTAGTGTAGCCTAGCGTCTACTAGACTCTAGACAGGAACTTTGGCCTTGTTGGGACGGTAGTGTGCTCTACCTTCACTTCGCTAGGCGCTAGCTTCCAGTTTCCAGTTCCGGGCCCTGAACCACCCGCGCGCGCTCGTGGAGCCATCAGTCAGATGACAGATCGAAGACGATACCGAATGCAAGAGACAGAGAGAGAGAGTTTGGCGGCTGCTGATGGATGGAACCCTTCGTTGTTGTATAGCTACTGCTGCTGATACAAGGATTCTGGATTCGGCCGGCTCGTACTCGCATGCGGTCAAATGTGGTCGCTGATCACTGGATCCTCGCATCAAATGCGCTGTTTACTTGTGCAGGCGCAGCAATGCTGCATGAAGCAGCGGCAATTGGATGAATTCAGGGTGAGCAGACTGAACATGCATGGTGTTTGTTTGTTTGCTGGCCCAATATGAGTCTGGCCAACAGGCCAAGCAGGCTGAAAGATCAGGCATGGATGGAGTTCCCAATTGCTGCCATCCATCCATCCTTCCATCCATATGCCTTGGTTTGAAGATAGCTCCCATATATATCGCCATATCTCAAAATAACACTGATGCAAAAACTTCAGTCAGTAGTCTTGTTGTCACCTTCATGAGTCATTTTTTTTTCCTTTTGATTGTACTTGGCTCCTTCTCTATCAATGTATGCCCGGCATGCTCTTGTTAATGGCTTTTTCAAAAAAAAAACTTCAGTCAGTACGTACACTGATTTGGAAAACAGAAACGAAAACGGAACACTGAAAGTTTTTCTTTTTCTTTTTACTTTACCCACACTGTATATGGTATATATGTGTCACCGTAACTAACCGGTTACTGCCAATTTTTTTATCCTCGTCAGTAACAGGGCGATGATTGAAGGGGGTGTTTGGTTCCGGACTAATTTTTAGTCCCTGTCACATTGGATGCTTGACATTAATTTAGAGTATTAAATATATTTTAATTACAAAACTAATTACACATGGGGACTAATTTGTGAGACGAATCTATTAAGCCTAATTAGTGCATGATTTGACAATGTGGTGCTACAGTAAATATACGCTAATAATGAATTAATTAGGCTTAATAGATTCGTCTCGTAAATTAGTGTCCATCTATGTAATTAGTTTTATAATTAAAATATATTTAATACTTTAAATTAGTGTTAAACATTCGATGTGACAGGGATTAAACATTAGTCCCTGAACCAAACACCCCCGAATACTCACGTACCATCACACGTCTCCATCGGACATACAGATGCATGCCAACACTGTTCTTATTCGTGGACGAAACGTTTCCCTACCGCTACCGGTGCAATCAGTAAACACATGCACGCAAGATGCAAGGCTATTCTCTCATTGCTCTCTCGCCTCCTACGTCAAATCACACGGACTACCGTACCGGCCTCTTTCTCTGTCGTTCTGTAGCTCCGCTTACGAGCAGTATTTTTAGTCAATAAATATTATTTTTTTTCTCACAATAAATTAATTAATAGAGATCTCTACCATCAAATGAACAGGGCATTCCTCCCTCTCTACTAGTACATCTCTCTCCCTCCCCATGCATCATTGCCGAATATTTACATTGCCATCTCTGCATTCCCATTGGCAGATCCAGCCAGTTTTCTCGCCACCTGCATTGCATACCCTCTCTCGGTCTCGTGCTTGCTACTACCTATAGGACTTGGAGAGCAGCAGTCAAGCTCTAGCAGGGTACGGCAGAGACAAGATGAAGTGCTTCAAGATCCTCCTGCTGGTATCCCTCATCCCTCTCGTGCTCAGGGGAGTCTCGCTTCTGGGCAACGTCATTCCAGCATCGCCTGAGCAGCCGTCCAGCTCCAGCTCCAGCTCCGACAACGGCGCGAGCGTTTCTTCAGCTTCACGGGTGGGCCGTGGCCACCTCTCCGGCGGCTTCACCCAGCGGCGGTTCAGCGGCGACTTCAGGGACGACAAGAGGTTCTCCCCGACCGGACCCAACCCGCTACACAACTTGTGATCGACCGGCATTCAGGAATCAGCAGGGAAAATTCAGTTCTGGAGTCCAGGCCTCCAAGGTGATGCCCATCCTTTTGCGAATTTGCAGAAATGCCATGTAGTAGTTCTCATATATGTTTTTCTCTGTGTATATATGTATGGTAGTCTGGTTTTGTGTGCATACATTTTGTATTTGTTATTGTTATAGGCTAGATCAATTTTTCATTTAGGAAAATGCTGAATTTTTCGCTCTGTTCCTTTGTCTTTTATTTGGGTGTTAATTAATTTCTTCATGGCTGGTTGGTAGGTAGGTTAGGTAGTTTCCTTTACTGTGTGTTGCTTCAGTCTGTACCAATATGTGTAATTCATCAATTTCGTTTTCAAATAATGAAAGATGGCTTTTGACCGATGACATGCAAAAAAATCGTTTTATCTATCTATCTTTCTATCATCACTTACCAGAATGGAATATAAGTCATGTGGACTGCTGCAGGAAGTTGACTAGTTGCATATCTGACGCCCAGCTTTTTGGCAATAGCAGAAAGCTTGGAGACAATGCTGACCACGAGATGAACGAAGGGCGATATGGATCAATATCGACGTTGATTCCTCAAACTGGCACATTTTATTCCATCAAATTAAGCGATCTACTTCCCCAGCTCGGATTTAATTTATTTGCCGGAGTAAGCTGAGTCTCAGAGAAGCAACTGTGGTCTGTGGATGAGCAATCGGCTATGAGGAAGAGGATGGTGGTGTTGTGGAACTTGGGAGTTGGAGGGGCCTCCGGTTGATGGTTATTTACAGGGGAAATATATATATTATTAGACTATAGGTTTGGGATCTTTGTCCCCAAAAAGAAAGATTCACAGGTACTAATGAAATGGAGACCTTTGTGGATCTCTAGGCTTTGTGCTTAATTATTTTCCCTTGCTTAAGCTGTGTGTGCCCTTTGCTATCTTTTCACTTTTGTCAACAGTTTTCTTTTGCAAAACATATACTCCCTCCGGTTCTATAAAGCAAGTCGTTTTGAGGTTGTCTTAAGTCAAACATTTTAAACTTTGACTACAAATAACTTCTTTTGGGTTGAGTTTGAAAATATGAAAGTGATGTAAGTAGATTCATCTCGAAATGTAGTTTCATAAAATTATATATTGACTATATTTTATAGATATTTTATAGCAAAAAGTTGCAGTCAAAGTTGTTTCTTAAATACCGTGTCGATGTCCAAAACGACTTGCTTTAGAGAACCGGAGGGAGTACGCATGTTGACATGTACACCCATATATGTGAACGCCCGCATGCACATTTTACCCTTACGAGGAGAAACTAGCATGGCAAATTAAATCCTACGAAATTGATGAAAAAGGTTGTGCACTTCTCTGCCAACAGACATGTCACCTACCACTAAAATAAATATTAGCTAAATGTGTTGAATATGTGTATAATTTGGTTATGCTAGGAATTGAATTGTATCAGGGGCTCAGATAAAATTAGAGTCGGACCATGTATCCTAGGATGTCATAAATATAAGACAACCCATGTTTAATTTTAACCATTAGATGACTTAGCGTTTGGGTACTAGTGAGGCGGATAAAATTAGAGTCGGACCATGTATCCTAGGATGTCATAAATATAAGACAACCCATGTTTAATTTTGACCATTAGATGACTTAGCGTTTGGTTACCAGTGAGGCCACAGACCACCAATATGGCACTGTAGCACTGTTTTCATGGGAAGGAGCATCTGTAATCATGCCCCGGCCCCAAGGATATATAGGCACATGGTTGAATCTCATTGAAAAACATCGTGTCATTTTCACTTGTGTATGTTCTTCATTCTATAGTGCTTATGTTTTCATGTTGTTCGGTTAGTAGATCAGTTAGGTTTTAGATATAACCGTGCACTCTAACAAAAATAGTTTGCCATAAATGTAAGCATTTGTGCTTAGTCAGATACTCTAACCAAGTTAGGCAGATTCCAGCTCAAGTGCCTAACTAGTTTGCTTTGTTGGAACTTCATCTATCAGACCAATGGGATAAAGTTTTTCTACGCTAAAGATCGATTAAAAAAAGGCATCATACCTGATAGTAAGACAAAATAACCAGCAAGAATTTGTGAACCTGAGTTCTTAAGCTTTGAAGAATGTTCATTAGAACGTATAAAGCCCCATATATAAAATTAGAGTCTATGTGGAACCAAATAGTTTTACAGCACCATGTTCTTCAAATTTTCTAATTTTGTTAAAATGAGGTCAAAGTGGCCATATCTATCATACAAATAGATCCTTCTAGATACTACTATAAAAATGATTTAAGAAGACATTCTCTTTTATTTACAGAGCCGAGAAAAAGGTTTCTGGTCTCCAAAAATGATCACCGTACCTGAAAATCTATTTAGAGACCCGCCTCTGTTAATAAGGCCTAGCTAGCCCACTTTAAACATAACCCTAACTTGATGCCACCCCCTCGGACATAAAACTTGTGTCGCCTCTCCCTCCCCCCTCGCCTCTCTATCCCCACCACCGCACCCGCCACTCCCACCCCTCCGCCTCTCTCTCAACACTACCACCCGCCACTCCTCCCCACATGACTCCATTCTCTCTTCCCTAAATTGGTTGATGGCACCTTCCCTCCCAGCACATCTGGCCTTGACCTCAAGTTGTGCCCAGGCCTCGACCTCTCTAGCGGCAACAAATTAAGCCTTGAAATAGGGCCACACCCTTGCCTCAACCCAGGGTGGCACATCAACCTCCACCTCCGGCGTCAACCCCTAGCGGCACCCTAGCCCACCACACTTCATCCCCGTCCTTGTCCTCGAGCAATGGCGCCCTTGCCTCAGCCTCAACTGGCGCCTGCAGATCTGGCGTTGGGATGGTGGATTTGACATGGAGGTGGCGGATCCAATGGCACACAAGCCCCTCCCTCTTCTAGCAAATTTGGTTGCTGCAGCACTGGCGAGCTGCTCACAGATGCGGCGACAAGTTCCTCTTAAGATTCAATGAGGTCAGCACACGAATGAAGATCCCAGCGGGCTCGACGGTAGGCTAACTGCCAAGTGCTGGTTTGCTCAGAGTAGGCTCAGTCGGCCCCCATTTTATTATTTTTTTAAGATTTACAGAGGTGGACTCCGATTAACAAAGACCTTAAAGCAAAGACGGGCGCACACAACGCCTCTAAAAATGAATTTTCCACCTTTGATAATGTATCATGTAGCAGTGAGATTGACATTAGCATCTTGACGTCAGTCTAACATAGGGGTATGCTAAGTCCCCAGGTGAAGGACGCTATAGTCCGAGTAACCCCGAATCGGCTGGGGGCTCGAGGGCTATACTCATCAGGTACGCTCGTATGAACCCTCTAGCAGAAAAGGGGTGGCTTGGCAACCCATAAATATCCATCCCCGAGGAGGACCACGATGTCAGAAAGACAAGCTCAAGCAGGCAAAGCGACCATCGCTTGGGGGCTCGACCGGAACACAGAGATTCCCGACGAATGGGAAGCCCCGGCCAAGCCTTAGCCCTAGAAGCCACCCCAGCCTTGGCTTGGGGCCAATAGTTGTCTCAAGCCAAGACTAGAAGCCAACTCCAGAATCTGCCAGGCGCTCAAAGCCTGACAAGCGCAGGAGCACTACACTGCCATCCTATTCCATAGACGCGAGGCACTATTTGCCACTCCCTCAGTAGGGTCACGCCCAGGGTATGACGCATCAGGACAAAGAACACCCCAACCCACGGAGCAGAGGGCTCCGGGCCCACTCGTTAGCCCCACGGAGCGGAAGGCTCACCCAGGAAAGGCCCCATCATGGTAGACAGCACCTGAGATCAAGCGCTAGACTGCAGTAGAGACGTCAGGGAGTGGTTGCAACATTGTTGGCCCCTTCCTACACAAAAGAAAGTACTCGACGACGCCAAACGAAGGAACCAGAAGAAACAAGGCGAGAAGTCCTAGGTTAGAATCCACCCGCTTTGTACACCATACTCTCCTCGGTATATAAGGGGAGGTATGGGCTCCTGTAGAAGGATTGGATCCACTCATATTACCATTGAGGAGATCAGTTCACGGCAACTAAGTGGAATCGGCCCAGACTCTAGGATAGCACCGTGCAATCCCATACCAATCTCTCTCTCTCTATTCCCATCATTGTAAGAACCCCCACTTGGGCATTCCTAACATGAAGAACACTATACTGTTGGATGTAGGGCTTAGAAGTCCGAACCAGGATAAATCGTCTGTGTTACTGAGTGTTTTGAGTGTCCGAGCCACTCGTTTCGAACCCACGACACATCCACAAGATAGTATTATAAGCAATGCAACATCACTCACACTTAAACTGGAGTGAAAGCTGACAAGTTTCTGAAAAGTCGATTATAGCTAGCCTTTTCGTGATCATAGTCATAAGTGAGGTAACATATTAAAAAAATCTCTACCCGTGGGAGGATTTGCATCCTCCCGGTGCATCTACTCCAGGATGGCTTATTCGATGATCACGTGGCTCCCGCGTTGTGCTAGAAGCCAATTGAACCGCTCCCATTTGGGCATTCCTATCAGTTGTCCTCCGAGAGTAGTCAGTAGCATGTGTATGCATACTACGTCCAAGGTCTTTGCAGTGGGAATAGATCGGAGAAGTCGCCAAGCTTTCCTGCCTTGTTTTTTTCCAACCAAAACAACAAGAACATGTGCGAGGCTAAAACCAGCACAGTAAAGTGCGCTTATCTATCTAGTTGATTATAACCATGGATGAGTATCATACGTCGAGGAAGGCTTTACAAGCCCAAAGCACCAACTGGTGGACAGGCTGTTAGATGAGATGAGTGTCAAATTCTAAACTATGGGGGTTGTGCAACCCTTCAGTAGAATCATGGAGATGGAATCATGTGTTCAACCTTGTGACTTGGATCTCAAAACAATCATATAAATAAGATGGAACCATGTAGGACGGTTGTAATAAGCCAATAATCCTAGCTAATTATATCCTACAATAACAGCAATATCCTTACCATCATAACACTCAAACATGTTCAT